TTACTATAAAGTAGTGTTGGGGTTTTCTAGCTCAAGAATTCGTTGGATAATTGCGCTCCACTATCGTATTTATTCATATAGATTCCATAATATCGGTTTTACTTAATTATGTTTTTCTAACTTTTCAAATGTTGAATGGATAACTAATTCTAATTTCTTTTTTCCCATCTTTACACTATCTTAATTTCATCTTATAAATTGTCCCCTGTTCTGTCACCCATAAAATAAAAATAATCGTTTGTGCAGAAAATGAGGATCTGCCTGCATTAAATCGTCTTTAAATTAAGTGGCAACAAAAGAATTATTGTTGAACTTTTAAAAGGTAAGCTTGAACATTAATTCATTACTTAGCGATCCATTTTGAGTTCTTTTGTAATTTATTCATGCATATCGCATCTACTCCTTCCTAGCTATTAGGATGATGGCCAAACTAAGAGTCCTCCACATCGGGCGGCTTTTATGTTAGTTTAGAATAAAACGTACACTGCAATTTTGGATTTCGGATGCAAAAGGAAAATAAGAGTTACCCTCCTTGAACCATGAAAGTAACAATAGTATAGATAGCATAGATGGCTAGTATAATATATTAATATATATTTTTAACCTCGCATAATCTGGCAACCTTGAATCCGAGCTCAACGAAAATCGTTCTCTGCGCCTAACTTTTCTACGGCTTTTGAATGAATCATTAAAATCGAAATAGTAGGAATTGAGGTGTTGCTAGGACGCACAGATGCACAAACGCACACACATACAATGTACTTTATATATAAGATAGTGGGAACATAAAAGAAATACTAGCATATGGGATACCTAAGGAAACTGTAATTCCATCATAATGCATTATCAGAAAACCCATTCCAGGGTACACTCACCTGATGGAGGTACACAGCTTTTTTTATAACTGCAAGAGACCTTCAGGGAGGCATTCTTTCGCCTTTTTTCTTCATCATTTGTCTTGAATATGTGCTGAGAAAAGTCCTAGATACGAGCTTGCAGCGTGGCTTCACTCACACTGAACGAAAAAGCAGACGCCATCCAGCCGACAAGATCACTGATGCTGGGTATGTTGACGACCTGGCGATACTGGCTGACCATCTAAAAGATGCAACATCAATCATTCACAGCATCGAAAATGTAGATCAGGAGATTGGACTCTATGTCAATGCGGGTAAAACAGAGATTATCTGCCTGAATCAAGATACATCGACAGGCATGAAAAGTCTGAACAGAGAAAACATGAAGCAAGTAGACGACTTCAAATACCTGGGTAACTATATTCCCTCCACTGAGAATGATGTTAAGATCAGACTGGTAAAAGCCTGGGGAGCGCTTAAAGGAATTAACAAAATCTGGAAATCAAATCTACCAGACAAAGGAGAAACCTTTTGAGAGTCCTTGTATATGGCTCCTTAACCTCCATACTAACAGCCAAACTGGAAAAGAGGTTATATGGTGTTTACACACGAATGCTTCGAACAGCACTAAACAAATTCTGGAAAGATCACCCAACAAAGAAAGAGCACCATTGCAACATTCCTCCCATCAGCAAATTAATACGCCAACAAAGACTAAGATTTGCTGGTCACGGCTGGCGTATAAAAGAAGAACTAGATGGAGACGTTCTACTCTGGATACGATCCCATGGAAAAAGAACACAAGGTCAACTAAAGTAGATGTACAATGAACGAAACGTTGTAAATGTGACAATAAAGATGAAGATAATAGTCTAAACAATGTAAATAGTGTAGATAGTTACTATTCCTCATCTCAGAAATATAGACAGAACTCAGCAGAGTTTGATAAGCCGTAACAGAATCAAACCAAATTGAGCAAACAGAAACAAGTAGAATTTTGAAGGGGTGAAAATGTGTCATTGTAAAACAATTCAACACATCAACACAGAAAACGGAAAGAAAAAAAAAACATCATGTAAATCCAAAGTTTTATATAACAGAACTTTCCTGGTGAGACAGAAGTATAGAGTTGAATCAGACTTTTTAGGAGCTGGAAACCTAATCATAAACAGAAAACAAAAGAAAAACTCCTACTCCTGTTCAAAAGGCCACGGAGGTGTGTGAACCGGGCGAGGCGGAGATAGTAGCAGTATAGACTTAAGTTAGACTTTAGAAGGAACCGGAAAACCACTCCTATACAGGAAATAAGGGATAAACCCCTACTCCTGTTCAAAAGGCCACGGAGGTGTGTGAACCGGGCGAGGCGGAGATATTGGAAATACAGAGATGAAGTAGACTTTAGAAGGAGCCGGAAATCCAATACTAAACAAGAAACAAGGATAAATATCTTCAAAAGGTAAAGGAGGAGTTAAAACCGGACGAGGTTTAATAGGCGAACCCATCTACTCCTATTCGGAGAGAAAAAACAGAAATAATCTGTTCTAAACTGAAATAAACTGTTTTATTATTTATTCAGTATTTGTTAATTACCAACTTAAAAGGCATGTAAACCAGTGACAGTATTCCTGCTGTATACCAGTAAATACTTATTGTTTAAATAAGTATCAAACTAGATATTGTTTTATAGTCTTTATTGTAACTGTGGTTATAATTCTTATGATCTTGGAGAGATGTTATGTGTGACCAACACCTGATTTCCAAGCTCTAAATTGACAGTTAACTCCGAAAAGTAATTTTGAAGTAATTCCTGTAATTGTTAAAAAAAAAAGAAAAATAACGGCTGGGGGTGGAATTAAGTCTTTAACCTTATTTTGCTAATTAAGGCCCCAGAGCTACTCCAGGTAGAGGGTTACTGTATGGTGTTGTATATGCGTAAGAAAAGGCAACAAGGGAAATTCGTGTGGCGGTGCAAGAAAGATTACAGCTAACCCTAGACTTGAAGAGGTCAAGATTTCATTAGGGAATAACATTTCACAGTTCCGTCAGGGACTTTGAAAATACAGAGTTGAAGTAGACTTCAGAAGGAACCAGAAAGTCAATTCTAACCTATAAACAAATGAAAAATCTCAAGGGAGAAACTGATTATTCCCATTGCAACAAATGCACACAAGTCAGAGTTTCTTCACCCGCTTGTCTCATTCACTTGTGCACATTTCTGATTTTCATTTATGTATTGTTATTTTTTGGGAATGAAATGCCCTTGAAATATATAAAAAAAAGATTCATAATGTAGAAAGTCTTGAAAAATTGCAATAAGAATTGGAGAAGGATACTGCGATTAGACAATTTCATTTTGTTTTTTTAAAAAGTCACTCATTGTCTTTCTATTTTAGTCACGAGCAACGCCAACTTGGGAAATATATATGCTTTCATTATTTTAAATAAACACTTGAATGAATACGCACACAATGCATACACATGCAATTCACTTGTTTCGTTTTCGATCTGATGATGCCCAAAACGGGCGAAATACAATATCAGATATTTTTTCGATACATTATACTTTCATGAAGTTTTTTTTTTTCAATAGTCATTAATGTATTACTCTGTCGGAATCATTTACCCAAATTTATAAAACAATTTTATAAGAAACTGTACTTAAAATCTTAAGCAGAGTCACTACTGACGTTAGTTTCGCTGAAGCAATTAAACAAAAAAGAAAAGAAGAAAATCATGATTTAAATAAAAAAAGATTAATAAATGCGTTATTTTAGGCTTTATGCAATAATTCTATCAATTCTACTAGTTTAGTTAAATTGAAATGTTTTTTTTTATTTTGTTTATTAGACGTAAACATTTAAACAACTCTTAACATATTTCGGAACGATGTTACAATAATCCAGACCATATACTGTCAGCAAACCGCCTGCATACGGACAGAAAATAAATTCAGTACATATACGAAAGTAGACAGAGGTAAAAGAAAATGATAGGTCTTCTCACCGGATTATTCAACCTATACAGGCCTTTCAGGTTAACCTGCTGATGCACCTGGTAGTTTATTTCAGTCACATCTAATATAAATCAAATGCAGCACACGAATGTATACGTTTGTGTGTATGTCAATTCGTTAGTGTGTATATGTTTGTTTTTAAACTATTTACATTATTCGGACTATTGTCCTCATCTTTGTCGCCATATTTGTGTTCTAGTTCCAATTGCCATGTTTCCGTTGTCAATATCTCCTGTTAATTCCCCTCTCCAAGTTCTCCACTGCCTTAACCGGGCATTGAACTCACACTCTTTGGGTCCTGTCACTGTGACAACGGACGTCCATTAAACATGACACATGGAAATAGAACAGTCTACCCCAGTGAGCGAATAAAGAGTTTAGTTCGACATTCCAAACACCTGAAGGAGGCCGGAGCGTACAACGGCCGAAACGTTGTAATAAATATGGCGACAAGAATGAGGACAATAGTCCGAATGATGTAAATTGTGCACATAATGCCTCATCTCAGAAATATAGACAGATACTGAACGACCGAAACGTTGTGATAAATATGGCGACAAAGATGAGGACAATAGTCCGAATAATGTAAATAGTGTACATAATACCTCATCTCAGAAATATAGACAGATACTGAAAGGCCGAAACGCTGTGATAAATATGGCGACAAAGATGAGGACAATAGTCCTAATAATGTAAATAGTGTACATAATACCTCATCTCAGAAATATAGACAGATACTGAAGGGCCGAAAAGTTGTAATAAATATGGCGGCAAAGATGAGGACAATAGTCCTAATAATGTAAATAGTGTACATAATACCTCATCTCAGAAATATAGACAGATACTGAACTTAATATCTTTCAATGTAATCCTATGTCTGATTCTAGTCGAAAGATTTCTTTATGAAAAAAAAAATGACCTTGTTTTGAGTAAAGAATATAGGATTGTCACCAAATGGAAGGTCAGTAAAGGCGCGAATATAAAGGTTCCAATGTAGGTACATCTAACAATGTCCACAATGATTTTATTATTTTTTACCTTCACGCTGTTTGCTGATTAACTTGCAAGTTCATCAGAAGCCGGCACGACTGACGTAAATTGACGTAATACGTGACGCAGGGCAGTCATTT